GATATATTTCATTTTCGATATAGGTCCAGCTTTTGTCCTAGTCCCCATATGAAAGGTCCAGGTTCAAACGTAGTGGTGGTAATTTGGAATACCTGGCTCTTGTTGGGCAAACAACTAATTCTCCGGCATTTGAAATGTGTTAGTCGTATTTTCCACCCAAGAGGGCTGTAATTTGGTTATTGCAGAAAATCCTTAATGTGGGTCCAATTTTTTGGTATACCCTAGTAATCACATATCTGTAAAAGTAACAATTGTACATGAAATATCATATCACAGTGCGCGTATTATTTGCACTGCTTAGCTATCTTTCCAGCCGTTGCTTAACACCAACACCAACTCCATACCCAACGAAAGTGGCAACCAACTCTTTGCTCTTTCCCACACCGTTTCAACAACATTGCTTATCAGATAGATTATGTTTAACAGCCCGCTTGTTTGTTTGTTAGTTATGTAAATATGTGCGGATTCCGATTAATTCTTAGACATCAATGGGTGTGTTGGTGCTGCTGTTGTCTCTATTGTGTCATCTCAGACTGAATTGTTGTCCTTGTCCCATTACCACCGTCATGCCATTTCACAGCACCACAGAGTCAATTTGTATGATACACATCAGACACGAGTCAACAAACATATCACCATTGCTGCTGGCCTCCTATAGGAGTTGTACCCATTCGGTGGGTTCCTCTCTCTTTGTTTGAAGATGTCGATTGAATGTCGCCACAGATTAATCCAATTTGTTGACTGGCGGCTGATGACGGCAGCAGCTGAACTGTAATCCTTGTGACTTGAACATTTTTTGTTTTCATTTTTAATTACAAACATACCGCTGTGTTGGCATCTATTTGGGAATTGTATAGCGGATATATCAGATAATTAATCGACACGGAGAACATTGAGTAAAAATGTTGTAGTTTAGTCAATCTATATGTGTTTTCTAGTCATTTACAGTTAATTTAGAATAGTTAACAAATGCTTATATGAAGATATTCATAGGGTAGAAATTCAGTTGTTATGGAAAAATAGTTTTGACATCACAAAAATCGAATGGAAATCGTGAATAATTTTCAACTGAGATGCGTGAATTATTTACTTACTTGGTTGGCTTGTGACAGAACGGTTGTTCCATAAGCCAAGCTTAAAAAAGATTTCCAAGCGCTTCGCTCTTATGCACATATCATCCAATTTGAACGACCATTTCCCGAGAAGTCTTCTATTTGATTTTTCCATCGGATTCGTGGCCATCCCCTTCCGTGTGAGCCACCAATTGCTTTTATTTGCCTTTTGAGCTGGGGCATCTTCATCCATTCTCACAACATGGCCTAGCCTAGGTAGACGCTGCAGCTCGATACGTCCGACTATGTCGATGTCCGAGAATAGATGAATATTGTCATTCGATGACAATTTGTGACCTTGTCTGAATCCTCGTTCGGTATTGAAGGGCTCCGAAAGGTCCTTTCCGACTTTAACTGCTGATCTTGTGCCACTCAAAGTGATCCTGCATAGCCGTATTAATTTTGCAGGAATGCCAAACGCAGACATGGCTTTATATACCTCTGAACGGATAGGGCTGTCGAATGCGGTTTTATAGTCGACGAATAGGTGGAATGCGTCGGTGTGGTTTTTGTGGGTGTTTTCTAGGATCTGGTGCAGAGTGAAAATCTGGCCAATGGTGGGTTTGCCAGGCCTGAAGCCGCATTGGTATGATCAATAATGTCATTTACCATTGGTTTAAGTCGTTCACACATCATGCTGAATAGCACATTACATGCGATTGGAAGGAGACTTATTCCTCTATAGTAGGTACATATCGTCTTGTCCCCTTTTTTATGCGCGAGACACAGGATGCTGAGGTTCCAATCATTGAGCATACATTCCTCTAGCCATATTGTAATAATCAGCTGGTGCATGCTCCTGACCATCATCTAACAACGGGTCTTGAATAGTTCGGCTGGCACCAGCCAAATTTCTTCAGCCGATTGATTTCTATTCTGACTTCATCTTGGCAAGGTGGTATACACTCTAGACCATCATCTGTTATTGATTCTGGCGTATTTTCTTCACCGCCACTGTTTGATACCAGAAGCTTTTCAAAATGATCCTTCCGGATCTTCAACACGGTATCTGTATCTGTCACAAGGTTTTCAATTTCATCTCTACAGGAGGATGTGCCTGCACATTTACTTGTTGGTACATTTTCGGGACTGACTTCTGTACATCTCGATTTGATCACGTTCGCGGTTTCTTGTTCTTTCTTCTTTTTTTTCTGAAAATACGTTTTTCCTCTCTCCTTTTCTCCCGATAATTCTTCATTACATTACGTGTTGCTACTATCTGCAGGGTTGCCCTATACGCTGCGTTTTTCATATCAATGGCGTTGACACTCCTGGTCGTACCATGGGTTTCTTGATGGTGGTCTTTGGTACCCAAGTATTGCTTTTACTGCAGTTTGTAGGGAGTGGGAAATTGTTTGCCATTGTGCTTCTATACTATTATCGGGGCAAGAAGTACTTTCGTCAAGCAGGTGGGTAAGTTGAGCGGAGCTTCTGCTATCTGTTATGTTACGCAGTTTTCCGACTTCGAGTTTCCGTGTTGTGTTAGATCGCAGCATTGCTGCTACATTAAGACAAGTGCGAACCTTGGCTGCCACAAGGTAGTGGTCCGAATCGATATTCGCTCCTCGTATCGATCGAAAGTCCAAAAAAACTGGGTAAATGCCTTCCGTCTATCACAACATGATCGATTTGATTTGTGTTTGTTCGATCGCGAGAAATCCAGGTGACATTGTGTATATCGAGATGCTTGGATCTCGTGCTGCTAACTACCATGTTTTTTGCTGCCACAAAGTCAATCGGCTCCATGTCGTTGTCGGATGTTTCTTCATGGAGGCTGAATTTTCCGACGATGATACTAATAAAATTCTGTTCTGATTTTTGCATTAAAATCTCCTAGCAGAATTTTAATATCATGGCCAGTGCAGCGGTCATACGGTCATACTGTTTCTAGGCGCTCGTAAAAAATGTTTTTGTCTTCGGTCGGAGTATGGACGCAAAAAAGACTTATGTAGAAGAACTTCGCTTTTAAACGGATCATAGCTAAACGCTCATCTACTGGAGTGAATCTGGAGACGAGATTTTTTATTCTGCTATTAACTGTAAATCCGCAGCCAAATTCATGTCTCTTTTCATAGCAGCTATAATAGAGGGCGTAATCATCTGATTTGCATACGCCAGTTCCTTTCCATCGCGTTTCCTGTAATGTAATACTATCGGCTTTGTGATTACTTCCGCCAAAGCGACAACTGCGCCTTTTCTGTACAACGTGCACACATTCCAAGTGCAGATTCGCAGATCATGGTACATTATACGTTTGCGGGCGTCCTCAACTTTGGTGGGGTTTGGTTTTCTTTTTCGATGCTTTTTCATAGTAGGAGGGGTTTTTCGAGTGTGGACAACTAACCCGACGCCTCAACATATTTTTTATAGTTCTCATGGGTGCACTCGCTGCACATATCAGCTCACTATTTCAAGGGATGATGAAAGTAGCTACCACAGATGACACCGCGGGGAAGTCAGTGTCCGCAATTGATATGAAAGAGGGACCAAGACAAGCCTGGGTTTTGCCATTAAGCCAGAGTCCAGCCTATGCGGCTGGTGAAATGCGAATTCCATATAAGGAATAATGCTCTCCGTTACAAACAAAAACAGATGGAAAAGGACAAAAGTCGAACGCGACTGATTGTATGATAGCCTACACTACTTTGGATATATACATGAGATGCTTCATGCTGATTTTAACGCTCAACAATCATGTGGTTTATATCGAAACCTTTATAACATACGCCAAGGGATAATATGCCCCAAGAGAATTATACCCTCACACCCAAACACCCTCACAATATATTTATATATTTACAAACGTTTTATTTTATATTTATTATTTCTTGTTCCGTTATAGAAGATAATATTAATGCCTAAGTATATATATATATATATATAATATGGTAAGTTCATTATCATTTTCAATTTATTTGCCTGTCTTAATAACAATGGGTTGGATGTTGTTGTTATTGTTCATGCCGGTAGATCCTAATAGTTTTCCGCCGGTGGTACCGGTGGACATACCGTTGCACAGTCTACGTTGGTTCAAAGCAATACCTTGGCAGTAAGTGGCATTTACAGCGGTATAGCCTACAAATATACATAATTTTTAAAATTCATCATATCTTACCCTTATATAAAATGCAGTCTTACCAATGTTATCGGAACAATTAGCCGTTTCCAGAGCACAAGTATTTTGGAATCTTTGACATAGATTCGAGCGACCATAACGACCACACACATTGACTTTGCTATTGCATGTTTGTACACGAATAACACACACCTTGGCAGCCTCCAAAGATCCGATGGCAATAATCGCCAAAATGAAGAAGATCGAGAAAATGAATTTCATTTTGATTGTAGTACTTTCCTTGGAAATGTTGTTTAGAACAATGTTAATGATTTAGACGGGTTCGAAGAGTTTATATACTAAATATATTCAAAATAGTGTGGAATATTTTCTAAAACGAAAAAAGCAATTGTGCAAATATTGAATAACATGTGCCAACTGGATGTTATGATATGTTTGGCAAAACTGAAGGTTAACGCCTAGCAGACATCGTAGCGGAAATATTTTCTATTTGTTTATAGAATATCTTAGTTTATTTATTTAATTAATTCTTGCCTACCTCAAGGTTACCTCATTATTTTGACACACTTTTGAGGCAATCAAGCTGGAACGTCTACACGAAATATAAACAAATAAATTTAAATAAATGGTATAAAGCTTTTAAAATCCTCTCAATTTACAGTGTCTTTTAAAATTTAAGGGAACCCCACCCATCCTCGATTTTAATTTTTCAAGAATTTCAATGGGCTGGTAAATTAATACCAATGCTTGTTAAGGTTTGTAACTTTGCACATATATATTTGAAGATTTAAAAGAGAAGAAAAATAATTTACAAACAATTTTTGTTATTGTTTTGTCGTTGTTTTTTGTAATTAAAGAAAAGTCCTTATTTTTGATGGCGGGCATGATAACTCCTCACTGGAACATCGGAATCCGAAAACTCCAACGGTGTTAGAAAGAGTACATGTCTGGCTCTCGTATGAACTAGGATTATTGACTTCGCTCTAAAATTAACAAAATGGTGGACCTTTGAAAAAATATTTTCGGAAAATCGCCGATTTTTTACCAAAAACCAAGTTAAAAAATAAGGAAGATCTTCACCGATTGGCCTTATCCTAGTTCATACGAAAGCTATACACTCCCAGAGAAACTTGTAAAAATTTGAAATCGATTGGACTATTAGTTTTTGAGTTATCGTGCCCGCCATTCGAAAAAAAATGTTTAGAGAAAAACGCGTTTAAAGTTTGATAAGCCCTTTAGCCTTCACTTGATGCTGACACAATAAATCGGCTATATCTTCAAGAGTTCTTCAGATTTTCATTTGAAATTTTGTAGGGACATTCTTTAATTAGTGTAGATTCGAATTATATCAACAACATTTTTGACCCCCTGAATGGGGGGGGGTCCCCTTAACGATTCATCAACGCCCAGACGAAACGGCTGAAGCTAGAATCTTGAAATTTTGAGTAAGGGTCACTCTTAGTCCAAAGGTGTCAGATATTCAGCAAACCGGTAGAGCTAGAGCTCAGAAATTTGGATTGAGTGTCATTGATAAAGCGTAGATGTATCAAGGGCTTTTGGCCATTCGAAGTATCCGAAAAGTACTAACATGTACTAAATTTGGTACAATTTCGTAGCATGTGAATGGTTAGAACTAAAAACTTGAAATTTGGAATGCGAATTAAGGTTGAGAAGTAGGGTCGATATAAGGAGATAGTTTTGGAAGTGTGTAGTCTTGTATACGTAAAGTACTAACTGTACTAAATTTGGTACAATGTGAATATAGAATAACGGCTGAAGCGGAATCCCGAAATTTGTATTTAACATAACAGTTGGAGTGTAGGATAGCGATATGTAGGTTGTTTTGGAAATATGTACTTATGTGCACGAAAAGTACTAAATGGTACTATATTTGGTACAATTTGGATTTTGGGTGAACCGATAGAGCTGGAATCCTGGAATTTGAAGTTAAGGTCACTGTTAAGGTGTAGGATTGGGGTATGTATCAAGTATTGGAAATTTGTACTAATGTGAAATTTTTAAATATGGTTACTGTTAAAGTGTAGATTGGGGTATGTATCAAGTATTGGAAATGTGTACTAATGTGAAATTTTTAAATATGGTTACTGTTAAAGTGTAGATTGGTGTATAGATGTAGTTTTGGAAATTTATATTTATGGGTACTAAATGGTACCAACTCTGGTACAATTTGAAGTTAGAGTGAACCGAAGGCAAAATGGAAATGAAATGAAATTAGGAAATATGATATATATTGGATTTGTATTAATGTGTACTAAATCGTACTAAATTAGGATTTGAGTGAATCTATAGAGCCCGAATCAAAAAGTTTGGAATTAGTTTTGGAAATAAGTAGGGGAGACTGGGGCACCTTCGTCAATTTTTGTTTAGGGCTCTATATCTCAGTACTTATTCAACATATATAAAAACTTTATGGCTGATTATTGTCCTCTGACACTTAATTATAAAAACTAGTACCAAAAAGATAAAAAATTAGTATTAGTAAAAAATTTTGACAGTTTTGTAAAAAAGTCAAATTCGTCGAATGTACCCCAATCCGGGGTAGCTTCAGCATTTGATGGGGCACATTCGGCACTATAGTCATAGCCTGGTAATTATCATCGCTATCAGTCTGGTTGAAATTCCTCTAAAGGCTCTATTTGGTTTTAATACGCGACACAATGTTTGAATTTTGGGGCTATATTTTCAAGCGGCGTACGTTGAAATCTCAAGGTCGCACACACCATCAGAAATAGGTTTTTTTTCTGATTTTTGTTAATACAAGCACGTTTAGACTTATATATGTAATTTCGAACCATATAAAAAGATTATTTTTAAAGACAAACTCAAAAACATTTTAAGGAAATAATATTGCACTATCTGTATATGGCCGAATGTGCCCAACTTTAAAATGCCGAATCTACCCCGAATGCCCTTTTTATAGTTTTTTTTTTTCAATTTTTTTCTATCAGTCTTGTAAAAACATTATATTTTTAAATATTTATATAATAATACACATCGTAATTAACCATTTTTTAGTAATATTGTCTTAAAATTTGAAAAGATTTATACACGAAATACTTACGAAATGGAATGGAAATATTACAAAAACATCTTTAAAAATACAAAAACACGTGCATCTAAATAAGTTTATTAGCTAGAAATTTCAAACTTTGTGACAGTTATTTATTTCGATATTCGATACCTATGTATCGAAACTAGAGATGTACGGTGAGAGCTTCATATCGAAAACTCGATTGCCGAAGGTGCCCCAGTCTCCCCTACATCCATTCATTTGGTTCATACGGATATGGATTTTTACCTTTTGCGAAAACAAAACTTTAACTAACTTTAGCGACCGTAGTCGGAGTCAAGACATTTTTCTCTATATATGTAACAAAAATCATTGATGTAGTACGAAAACAAAACAGCCGATGTTTTGAAAATGCATTATTAAAACATTGGCAATATTGTCCATATATAAATATATTGGTCACCACATTGATATTGTTGCTTTGTGTATATGTTTGTAACAGGCAAAAGAAAATCAGATAGACATATGGTCCCTCTTGAGAATATGCATAGAATCACTTTTTAAGTGATTTATGTATGTCCGTCCGTCTGTCTGTCCATGTTAAATTGTAAACAAAGTACAGGTCGCAATTTGTATTCCAATTGAATGAAATTTTCCACAGCTCATTTATTAGGCCCAAGGACGAACCCTATTTCAATTGGGAAAATCGGTTAAGATTTAGATATAGCTCTCATATATTTTTTCGTGCGATTTAATGTAAATGGTGCACCAAAGTACCTATATATATTTTCCGATTTGCACGAAATTTGGCATAGCGTACTAAAGTGATGTGCGTATGTTTCGTGAAAATCGGTTCAGATAAAGATAAAGCTTCAATATATATTTTCTTCCGATGTTGTGTAAATGGTGCACCACAGTCCCTATATATCCTTCGATTTTCTCGAAATTTGGCATAGCGTACTGAATTATGTCTAGAATGATGTGTGTTAAATTTTGTTAAAATCTGTTCTCATTTGAATATAACACCTATTTGAATATAACATCCGATTTTATGTAAATAGTGCACCAAAGTCCCTATATTCGATTTTCACGAAATTTGGCATAGTGTACTGAATGAGTAGAGTCTAGAATGATGTATGGAAAATCGGTTCAGATTTCGATATAGCTCCCACATATACATATTTTTGTCAAATTTTACATAAATGGTGCACCAAACTCCAACCACAAAGTATCAAATTGTGGCTTGAATGACGTTATTGTGTTTTGTTGAATTTGGTGCAGATACAGCCATAGCATCCATATGTATTTTGAACGGCTGTTTTATCGAGATTAAATTTTTAACAGTGCGGCGTTTTCTATAAATTTGTCCCATAGTACGCTAACGACTCTAAATCTGCCTTAATAAAATTAAATTTAGCATAGAGTATGTTCCTACGAGGGAACATTGACATGCATTTGTAAAGATACATATGTAGAATATCATATAGTCGGCCCGGTCCGACTTTGCTACTTTCCTTACTAGCTGTATATTATTTTTTGTATAATATTACGAAACCTCATAAATTTTGAAGTTATGTGTTTTTTTTTTTTTTTGGATACGTTCAATTGAGTATTACATATTTTTACAAAAATTATTAATATTGACTCATGTTTCGGATCGGCCCCCATATTCTGTATTTTTTGTGATTTGGAGGTTTCGGCAGCATTATACAATCAAATCGGGTTAGATTAAGATATAGCTCAGCGTCCACGGTTTTTGAATCTTTAAACAATAGTGCTGTTATGTAATATTTCATTTCTTAGCAGTATTTAATATAAAGCCAATAAGCGGACCAGTATAGTCAGACGGGACCGACTATACAGGTCCGCTTATTGGATCTATATTCCGAGAATGGGTGTTTTTAATCATTGTTGGAATAAGGTGGTCAGATCGCTTTCCCCATTGAAAATTTATGATGGTCGGCTGATAATTCCGATAAAGCGATTTGAAAACAACATAAAAATAACCTAATCATCATCGAAAATTATAGGCGGAACCTCAAGTGTGGTAATGGTAATACTAAACTAAAATGTGGGTCTAGGATCAATATTTCGTGTCGTTACAAACTGTTGGGGCTGCACAAAGCTGTAATACCCTGACAACATAGTTGTGTAGGGTATAAATAGGTTAAAATCGTCATAGATAAAACTATGGCATACCTTAATTATATTTGAAATATAGACGATTTGA